GGCTTAATCCTTCTTTTTTTTTTCCCTTTTTTTTTTTCTCAGGCCGTATCTTGTGAATCTGCTGCCATGTCTGACACGGATCACTAAACGTCAGGAGGAGACTGTGCAGGAAACTCTTTCTTCTTCAATTCCTAAAATCATGGCTGCCCTGGGTCACTTCGCCAATGATGGAGAGATCAAGGTATCAGTTCAGTACTATAAAGAAAGAGATTTAAAACAAAAAAAAAATCCAAAGGAAACCACTGTAAACTATGTTTTTGGTTTAGCTGAAAGTTTGTCACAGTTAAAGGTTTTCAAAGAACACTTTAAAGAACCACATCAGCTGATGTTCAGGTGGAAATCACTTGACTCAAAAGTCACACCACTACAACATTAACCATGGCCCCTGGCCTGACTTCTGTGATTTGGCACCTCAATGCGGGATTTCCCACACCGTTATCTTCTCTCGCTGTCTGAAGCCGTGAATGCGCAGTGGTGAGATCATCTTCTCAAAATGGAATGTGACTCAGTCAGACTGGATTTAATTATCCATGAGCCTCCTCTCCCTCACATCAGTAGGAGACGGAAAGAGCCTGTTCTCTTGCCAAGAACACATTTACATTTAAAGACAGTAGAACTGTCAGTTTAGTGCTGTTTTCTTATGTTTAAATCCAGCTCAATCCAAGTCATAAATAAACAAATTTCACAAGCAATGGCAAGTGAAGATCCTTGGGAAGACAGGAGACAAAGGCCAATCAATTTGATTAGCTATGCGAACATTCTAGGAGTGCTTAATCGGTTAACAGTTAAAATATTATACAGAATACACAAACATTGAGGTCGGTCAAATTGTTTTGTGTTTTTGAAAGAAGTCTCTAATGCTCACCAATGCTACATTTATTTGATCAGGAATACAGAGCATACTCTATTTTTTTTCATTAAAACTGTAATATTGTAATATTACTGTAATAATTTAAAATAAATGTTTTCTATTTGAATGTATTTTAAAATGTAATTTATTCCCGTGATAGGAAATCTGAATTTCCAGCAACCATTACTGCAGTCCTCAGTGTCACATGATCCTTCAGAAATCATTCTGATATGCTGATTTTTTTTCTTGATTTTATGTTGAAAACAGTTTTGCTGCTTAATATTTTTGTGGACACCATAATACTTTTTAAAGGAAGTGCAAAAGAACCATATTTATTTAAAACCGAAAGATTATAAATGTCTTTTCAGTCACTTTTGAAAAGAATTGTACTGACTTCAAGCCTTTGAATACTAGTGTACCTCTTCAGATGATTATGTCTGCATTTACACAGCCTGTTGCAGAAGAGGGATCACAAATTTGCAAGGGAAAACACTAATTAAAAGTTCAAAGGGTGTGCATAAGCCCAGCCCTCATGTTCCTAGACGTCTCTTTAGTCATTTTCTTACAAAATGCATAAAAAACAAAAGTATTATTAACAGTAATAATAAAGCAAGTTAAGTAATATGATTTCATAATCTCACTTCCTGTTTAATAGGCTTGCCGCGATAGACGGTGCTGACGGTGATACCATTGTTAATCCGCAACACTGGTTACGTCACTTGCACCGACCCCCACCGTCGTTTTGATTTTTTTATAGTAATAAAAATCATTTAGTTCAGTAAAAGAACAGACACTACAATTAAAAACTGAACGCGGCTGCTCAATGCAGCGTGCCGAACGACAGTCGCATCACAGATCAGATTTAATTTCCCCAG